GTAAGTTCTACTTGCTCCTCTAGTATAAGCTGCTAGTTCCCTGACACATTAGATATTCTTTTTGTATCTTCTTATCCTTCTAAACATATTTAACTCCAGATTGTCCTTTAAAATCAATTTTGACTTTCATAGCATCAATCTTAATTATTATTGCACAAATATTTATACTAATATCCGGTTTCACTCTATATACTATTACATAAATCTAAATGTATTCATCCGAGTGCTTTAACGGATTTTTATTTTATTTTTGCAATTGCTGGTTTCCTTCTGAGGTTGATATTTATTACACAATTATTATTCTTATCATGGATCAAAACTTTACACTAGGTGTTCACTTCTTTTCACTCCATTCCTTCCCTCTAAATAAATATTCTTAAGATTACGAAGTTTGTAATTAAAACAATAACTTGTGTTACACTTAAATTAAATTCTCAGACCCGTTTTATCTTCACTATGCATATATGACTCATACATATTGATATTTTATTATCCTTCTCATTTAATTGCAACTTTCATAGCATCACTCTAAACTATAACTGCACAAACATTTATTCTAGCGTCATATCTTACTGCAATTATAAGTTATTTTTTCTTAATTATTTTTTGTTACTAATTTAACGATACGCACAGTCGTTTATTCTTGTTCTGTGTTCGTAAACACGCCTATTAGAATGTTTGCGTATTTCGCGTCTCCTTTATTTCTATTCCCTTATTTTCTGCATTTCCTTCTTTAGACTCAATTCAATATTGTCAATTACACAGACTCGATTTATTATTATTAATGTTCTACTATTATTGCTCAAATTTTTTTTTCTTTTTTAAATGGCAAGTAGAATGCTGACATTATTGAAAATTGTGTATTATTGCATTTTTTTTTGAAGAAACCCGAAATGGTTTCTTCACAACACTTATGCACCCATAAGATGTTTGTGAATAATAATAATAATAAAAGCGTGAATAATAATAATAATAATGTACCATGACCAAAGGGATGGAAGCGGCTTTGTGTTGTATAAAGGGATTTTCGAGGTCGGTGTAAGATCTGTTTTGAAAGTTTTGTGTGAAAAATCCCTCCATTTATACGTTTGTAATTTGCTCCTATTGATTCCTTCAGTTGTACATTTTGTTAGTCTTTTTGTTTCCATTTGAGATGGTAATATTTGTATTTTATTATAGTTTTTATTTTTCTTACGCCTTTACTGAGTTTTCACTTTTTTTCCTGAAATGCATTTGTGTTGTTTTAGTTTATAATTAGCCTTGGCGGCAACCATATCGATTTGTTCCCCATTTGATCGTGTTGCTTGCATTGGCTGGAAGTGTGCATTTTTGGTTGTGAATTGAAGCACTATTTCAGAATCGGAAACACTGTGTTATAAGGCAACCAAATATTACCTTTTGAACGAATAACATTTATTTGATGCGTTTGGTAATTTTCTTACATTCTTTATCCACTCGTTTATTTATTGTTATTTAGATTTTCTAACTGGCTGAATTATTGGTTCGATAACGGGGTCTTAGTACTTGTTTAGGTAGTAATGTATGTTTATATTTATAATGAAATCTAGAACAGTCATTTACCCAGTCACCTTATTTTGATTTTAACTGGGTAATAGCGCGTATCTAAGCTACCTAGACAGTTATTATTCACTCCGAACCTTAGTTTTAATTCTACAAACTGAATGACATATTCTTGCTGTAAACTTCCAGGTCAACCGTTTCACAGTTAAATTTCTATTGATGGTGCTGAACTGGTTATTTATGAAGTCTAGTTAATTTAAACCTGTATTAGATGGTTACAATGAATATGGTTGACAGCAGCAAATTTATTTGCAAAATCACTTCTCCTTTTATCTCTGAGTTCCAATGTCTGAATTCAATCAGCCAAAGGGGTTTGTTCTCGTATTGTCCTCATAGGAGTTCTAATGAACTAAAATATCCAAGATCAAGAATGCCTGTAACTAGAGAAAGGGATTTTGGAATTGCCATATTATTCCAGCTATATGATTTATCAATCTAATTTTCTATATTTCTCTGAATCACGACTTATTTTTTCCGTGATATCTGCCATTTTAATATGTCGCTGTATTGTTTGGTTTACATAAGGATAATTTTGAATTTTCTGTGTCTTGGTAGGATGCGCCCATTAGTATAAGCCTTGGTGTAGGGTTTGTTATCTTGATAGTTTTCATGCAGAGTGGGATCACCAGATCACCGACTTCCTTTGTTGGTTTTATACCCATTGATGGCTTTGAAGTGGATTCGTGTGGGAGATATTTCAATTCGTTTGTTCATATGATTAAAATGCCGCAAAGTATTTGGGCATTTTTGGACAGGGATTATTCATGACTTTATTTATGAGTTACTGCACTTCCGGTGCTGTATCTGACGGTTTGCTTAGCATCAGTCGGCTCTAAATTCATTTCAGTTTCAAGTCTTCGTATATTAGTCCTGGGTACTAACAGATGCAAAATGACAAGTTACTGAGTGACATCGTCCTGACGGGATTTTATGTCATTGAGGGCGCTGCTGATGAAATTATTAGTGCATCCCTAATAATTCTTTCTAATGATGGAAAATATATTTTTTACAATGCATATTAAAATTCTTGGTAAAATTAAAGTTTTCAGTCTCGTACTTACTGGATTAGCACATATGCTGGATATCGAGGACTCCATTAACATTCCTCTTGTTGATTTGTATCTATAGCTGTTTAACTAAAATTATGGTGTTAATGGGAAATCAACTGGCTCAATCGAGCTTCGATTATAAAGCTTGAGTTGTTTTGAAAGATTTATGTAACTTAGTAGGTCAGAGATGCATTACGCTTTAATGTCTTTGTTTCAACAGCAGTGAGTACAAACAGAAAGTCAGTGTTGAGTCGAAAATAAACTCGTTTTGAATGTACTGGTATCGTGCATCAAATAATAAACAGGATGGATGAGTGAGACGGGAAACTTTGTAATCCGTTCACAACCATCCTTGTTTTTACATGTTGAACTATATGGAAAAAATCATTCTCGACCTTGTGATGAACCTGTTTGAGAGTTTGGTCAAGATGAGATAAAATGCAAATCAAGGAATAATATACGAAGCAAATTTTAGTGCGCAGAAGTGCAAGTATATAGACTGAAAGGATCGTAAAAATAACACTCATAATAAAGTTACACATCGAATGAAAAAATGGAAACATATAGCAACTCTCCTACACTCAGCCTCGATTATAGTTAAATTTTGTTAAACCCTTTTATCAAATTGCTCAACAAATAATGTTATTCGAACAATAATAGCTCGTTTATTTCTTTGCACTATTATTATCACTATCTTGTCCGTATAAACGTGTACGCTTGATCATATGACAGCCTGCGCACCTATCTCTCTCTGGCCAAAATGTTGATAGCTTAAATATCGCCCGATCAGTCATTCTCTTCTCCATATACATATGCACTAGAATCCTATTATTAGGCTTTACTTCGCCTTGCTATGCCCTTATTCAATTTGACTATAAATTCGCCTCTGTATTTGCTCGCATACACACACTTACCTCTCTGCTTCCAATTCGCTCGAGGTGCCTGTGGCATTGTGATCTGTGCTATCCGCCTCCTGATTTAAAACGCAGTTGGAATTTATATAATAACGATTGTCAAGGTGATTGATTAACGAAACTAAGCCACTAAAAACAACAGTCATGCAGTGTATGGTAGTTGGAAGTTACTCTTTGGATAACCACTACAAATGGAGTTGAATAAATTCTTAAATATCTCATTGCACCTCTGGTACCGATGGCATAAAATAAGAAAAGCTAACCCAATGATTTTTTATTGGTTCCGACGGGTAACTCCACATAGTGTAGGGTCACATAAAAGAACATAACAACACTGTTTACCTTCTTAATCACTGAGAACGATGTAAGTATTATTGATTTAGATGTCAAAAGTAACAGAAATATCAATTAATTGCCGAGGCTCATTCACAACTGATATAAATAAACGAAATACATCTAATATTTGATCACATATACGTTTCACAAGGACGGAAGATATGGTATTTTATCGTAGTTATTAAGTTTATTAAATATACTCGTCACCATATATTATCTCTAGTTTTTGGAAAACTTTTCAAAAGATAAGTGCCTGGGATCTGGAGTAAGATAACTACAAGTACTAAAAACATTATTTACAATCCTTTAAAACTTAATAGATGAATTTCGCAGTCTAGCTTTTACCAGCAGGGTTAATGAGGAATATTTCTAGCTTACGATAATTTCGGATTTGTTATGGTTTTTGGGATGGATTCCAGTAACCACAACCGAAACACTGAGCCCAATAACTACAACGCCGATAAATTTTAGTTATATTCATCAGCGCTTAATATCAGATAGCGAATACTCAGAACAACTTCTAGCACTATAAGGCAGGCTTAAAAAAGTCACTTGTTTTAAACTCGGGACAAAGACAGTGGATACCAAACGTAAATTGGCCCTAGCTACTTATGATTGTCCCCGTGCTAATGGCAGCTTTATTCATAGAGGAATGGATTTTAGGAACGCTGCTGATTCCTTACGACTAGTCCAGGTCTCGAATTCGCTACCGGCTGCGGTAGTCCCAACGACTTCCCAGGAGTCCTTTAAGAGAAAATTTAACACATCCTTAAATACGCGAGACAGTATAGCATTTCAAATTACCAAACGTTTTAAAGTCGTTATCTATACCTTGATTCCTACCTGAAGGCATCGGTGACCTCCATCTTCCAGATACGGAAGCCGATTAAACGAAAGCTTATAATCCATTCAAACCTTTTGAACCATTTGATCAATGCAAGGATCCAAAACAAAAGACATCTAAAAACTATCCTCTATAAGCAAAAAGTAAAATTCAAGAAAAAGGTTTTAAATCTCTTAGACTACGAAGTTTGAATTTTTGTTATAACCCATCAGCTGTGTTTGCGCGAGCAGCATTTTGAGTAGACTGGGGATTTAGTAGTACTAGGAATCATTACATATGAGGTTACTAACGTGAGTCTGTTTTTCTTATTGCAGGGCAGCAAATGTAATGAAAGCCCTATTTAAGCAGAACCCGCAGAACGATAGATAATTCTACTTTGTAATAGATTTTCTCTTTTTTGTACCCGATCCAAATCTTTGAATTTTCGAAATATATGTTGTACTAGTACGTCGCGTTCTTACTACAGAATCATTTAACTACTTTGACTGTTGTGTTGTTGTTTCAGACCGTTTCCGCTTCCAAGTAAACGCTAATAATACGCGCTGCAGTGATGCATAATTTAGATTTCGACTACGAAGAGCCGGTTGAAAAACGTTTTGAAGACCTCTGTCAAGATTTATGTATAGATGGATCTGTTAGAGAGGAAGCTTGGGAAAAGTACAAAGGTAACTAGATAAATTGTTTTGATTTAACAAGATGTTTGGGCGAATTATTCGATTGATGGTGACCAAATCCAGTGGCTTGTTTGTTCTCTCTATGAATGTTGTCGCCGTTGTCTATCAGACGGAATTTCTGGACATGTCGATAACGCCTATATATCTCTGTCACGATTGTTATCTGCAGCCAAAATGAGTATGGTTCAGGCATGTTGCTCTTACTAATTAATCTGTACAGTTTTTTCATCGTATTAGGAAATGGGCTGACATGACTGATATGCTGGATGATATGAGAGATCGCATCGAGCTCATTGAACGTCAGTTCTCCGTTTCATCGGTGATATTTCGTAATTTTGGTCGATCGTTTGGGGTATTATTTTCTGACACAGATTATGAAACCAGTCAAAGTAAGTTGTCTTTCACCTAAATTCGCACTTCGTTTGTACAACTTAAAATGTCCTCATATATTAAAAAACCTGTGGTTCGTTTTTTTGGCTACACGTTGGGAGGAAACTTAAAAAATTAATCCAACGAAATCATACTGATATCCTCAGAATACTCGTAACGGGTTGAAACACCTACCTAAACCTGATAATTGATTTGGAAATCTTGTATAAACCGTCCATCAAAATGCTCCATAACAGTATCCAGCAAATTCATAGACTGATCCCACATCTTAGTTTTCCCCCAACTTACGTTTACGACATCTAACGTCATTTGTCGAGGTTGCGAATGGTAAGGCATCAATAACACATGTTCTAACCACTTCAGCCGATAAATATTCACGGTTTTATCAACTGATTTACTGTCTTCCTTGAGTCCCCTGTATTCAACCTTTGCACTACTCATTCAGCTATATATATGTATATATATATAATACAGTCATTTCAAAGACTTCCTTTGAAAAGGTTTGCATATTAAATGCTTCTAACAAACAATCTGTGACCTTATGAATTGGTTCTACGTCTTAATCTGACCACGTTGCTCTTGGGCCACGTAATTGTACTTCATTTTTCGAATAATACGATAATTTGATAGAAGTAACACTAAGTAAACCGTGACTTAGTCACCTCGTCACAAGTTTACAATCTCTCTCGTCTTACTTCTAGTATTGTACGCTTAACGATTCCACTTTGCACACCTATTTGCAAAACAGATCATATCAGAGTAGAGTTTAAGCATCCACAAAATTTAGCGTTCTTAAGTCCCCTCATCACATCCGAAATTTTATCTAAATCTTCACCATCGTCTAGTGGGACTTAATCATCTGTTTTCTTGACTAATTACAAGATTCGTAACATTGACCCGAGTGAAGTTGGAGCTAAAGTTATCATCCTGATCATCATGTTTATGTTATTTAGAAGTATTAACGACGAGCATCCTCGTCAAACATCTACTTATCACTTCAAATATTTTACTTCTCTAAATTGACTTATCAGTAAATCATTTAATTTATTGTTCAAATGTTGGGAATTTCTGTACAGTAGGCGATGTAGTTCTATTTCGTAGACTTGAATCACTTTATTGTGCTGCGTTTTATATATTACTTTCTGTTTTTTTTTATGATCCCGACTTGTTCCTCTCTATCGTTTCCCTTGTTAATATCGCCATCTTTTTACAAATTTCTCTTTCTATTGATTTGTCACTACGTTGTTTGTGTTATATACCAACTTTAACTAATGCACCCATCAGTATCTTCAATCTTGCATTAGACATGCATTACGGAGAACTCATTTAATGGCCTTGAATGTTTAAGTTGTATATGAACAATTGTCTATTTGTACCGATTATTTTCTGTTTTTATCATTTCAGTGCGCCCAACGGGTTCTGACTTATTCAGGTTTACATGGCTGCTGTTCATCAAGTCTCGAGCAAGTTTTCCAGCAGTTACCGATGATTTAGTCAATTCCTATCACTTACTAGCCTGCTGTTTGGACTGGACTCTTGGTGCAGTTATGCTTTCCAGAAGACGAGATTTGATCAATATGGAGCAAAATGGTTTGCCTAGGGATTTTTTAACTTCAGTTGCTCAAAACAAAACTTGGTGCCCACCTCATGATGAGCCAACTTGTATGCTACGTCCAATATGCGAAGATAATGATGTTAATTATGTTGAGTGTAAAACTGTGAAAGAACACTTTTTTCGACCATTTATGCTAAGGCTGATTGAAAAGGTTAGTATTATTTATCTCAGAAGTTATGCTTTAGTGCATACCTATTTCAGAGAATCAATTTTGAGTACAGTTAAATATTTAAGCGATTGCAAATGTATTTAGCTCAAGCTGGACCTGCCGTGTGATACAATATTTCAAAGATAAAAATATTTTCAGTTATTAATACATCATATAGCTTGATGTGCAAAAATAACAGTCGCCTAATTGTATTGAATAATATAAATACTTTTGTTATGTGTTATATTACTAAAAAATTTTGGACTTATTTAGTTTACTAAGTATATCGTGAATGTACATCGAGTATAGATTTTGAAATTTACAACTCAAGGTTATATTCAGTGATTTTCTATTCTGTGAGCGAAAGTCATTAATTTTGATGCTATTCTAAATAATTCATAAAATTAAACTTACAGTTGTACATTGCAAATTTTCTGATAGTAAAATAGGCAAAATTTGATTTTAAAATGCTATTTTTCATTTGAGAAGTATTATGTCCTATGTATACCCAGCCATCGCCTACCTCGATAGCCAAACCAAAAACAATGCGTCAGTTCATAACGTCACTAACCGTTGGTCTAAACCATATGAACAAGTGTAGACTATCTAGTTGGGGCCCCAAAATGCCTTGGCACGGTCGAGGGTAAGGAGAGTTCGCTCTCTCTTGAAGTGCTCTCGTAAGTTCACGAGTATACAGCCACTGCCAGAAAAGTCCCACTCACTGCTTTCTCGTGGTAAGGGTGTTGTTTACGAAATTGAGAGGATGAAAACCGAAAGTCCAGCGCTTTAACCAGGTTGGTGGTCACTGGCTACCATGAGATTGCATCTTTTACGTTGCTCCACTGCCTTGTGGATTAGACCTTTAGATCAAAGGCTCCGGGTGTGATTCCGCTAGGAAGACCACCTGCTTCGGTTTGGGCGCCCAAGTAGTATCCCAGCCGTCACACAAATCGCATGATTTATATGGCGCATATCTATTTGGTGCCATTTTATACCAATGTTATATGTATAAATGAATAGGTATGTTGGAGTCCATAAAATAATAGCAACCAGTGTTTGGAGACGTTGAATGGGGGACAGATGCATACACTCTATATCGTCCCTTAGATCTTGTGCTTTGAAACTCTTATACTTTTTATCCCACTAGTTCATTCCCGAACCATGCTGTCGATGACTAATGTTTCTACTTCCATTAATACTCTGGCATTTGTCTTGACAATTTCATCTCACTCTGCTGATAGTGTGTCAAGTCAAACTGCCCCAGTTCCTACTTTGCCCATGATTAACCGACTGGCTGATTCATTGTAAGAAAACGAAAAATATATGGTAGCTTTTGATGGGCTTTGCTAAAGAAAGTTGAATATAAAAATAAATGGTATTTTCAAGAAAAAATTCCTACATACTATGTTATACGAAATATTCACTTCCTAATTATAAGTGGATTGTCATTAATTTCACGTACGTTGATCACATAATGATTCAAGAACGTCAATTGGAATTGTTTGAATGGTGCGTATTTGTAAATTGTTAGACTCTCTATAGTTTGTTTGATAATTGTCATTTCCATGGAACAGTTTATACAGGTCCTATATTCTGAGCGCAAATTGTTTACTTGTTTCATTTTTTTAAAGATCCAAGTAGCCTCTCACTTGAGTGAAAATATCTAATCTGCCATTTCATTTGCGTAACGTTTTCATGTCTACTGTTTAGTCCTAGAAATATGTTTTCAAAATGTGTTGTACAATAAATTCAGGCGTTTGCGATATTTTTTTAAGGATTTGATCAAACTTCACCCTTCAGTTCTTGGGAGTTTATTAGAACAGGAAAATTTCGAAATAACAATTCAAAATTTGAACAATAACTATGAGGAATACATTATCGGTACGGGGGACTTTGATGAACGTATTTATCTGAGCCCGAATGCATCAGAAGAAATTGGATCAATCGGGGAAAATACTGTTCAGTCTGATTTTCATCTACCTGTCGGTCTGACACCATCTGCGCGCCGATATATGCTCGTAAGTTATTTATTTTTTGACTCGTTCATTCTTAGTATGCCTCTAGTTTAACATTTCAATGTTTTAATTATGTAAAGGTCTGATTTTTTTTTCTTTTTTTGATATAAAGTGCCAGTCCCTGTTAGTATATACGCATTCTGAGCGGATTACTTCGATGATAACGAAAATATTTGTTACTCTGACTCATAACTCCCTCTTATAACTTACATTATATCTATAGGATTTAATTTTTCACTTTGTTGTAATAGTTTTCATTCTTATGATATATTTTAATTGCTACTGAACTTGTATATTTGATCAATTTCTGACGCTTATTCGTCATAATCATAAACCAATAATTAATTTACTTTGAAGTGGTTTGGATTATCCCGTTGTTAATATTCTTGACTGAAATTTGGTTAGTCCTGATCGGTATATGGGCATTCTTTGCGGATTGCCTTGGTATAGCCATTATGACACAAGTTCCACTGCTAACAACATCCCATCTATCTTATATAACTCAATACATATTCAAATTAACGTACAACGCCCATGAAGTACTATACTGGTTGAAGTTCATGAATGTCAGAATTTGAAATTTCCAAATGAAGTTAGTCATTTAACATTTTATAAGCCTATCGGCTTACCAGTTTGTTAAATTATTATTTCCTACCACAGAGGTCTTGACGTAGTCAATGCTCAATTTTGAGTATTGATTACCTTAATTATGTAACGTCTCATTTCAAAAGTTGATTACCTTTTTTTTACATCTGATATCATCTCTACTTCTATTGAACAACGTAGTATGCTTTGTATGATATTTATGGCATGCATTTTCCAACTGAACTAAATATCCATATGATATCATATTAAGTGAAAATTAGTGCAGATAAAACTAAAGATATTCATTTGATTTACTTTTTAAAACTAACTAGTTGATTCAAATTTGTAAACATGATGTTTCATTCTAAATAGGATTGAAATAGCACTTTTACGGAAACTTGTTGTCTAAGCATATCGATTGTAATACGGTAGCGAATGCTTTCTATTTCTCAGACGTTCTGTTTTCTCTAAATTACTTAACTATTTGTTCTCATTATGCTACCTTTTATTCACGTTTACTGATTTTAATTCATAAAATAATGATCTTTAACTCCTTTTTCTTTATATTTTTCCGTTGTGTTCTAAGGAAGTTAGTAACTCTGGTTTTGGAGGTTTCACTGAGACTACGCGGCGTGGTAATGCGAATGCTGGTGCTATCAGTCGTCTTAATGGAGGTGTCAATTTTAGCAATCCTGAAGCTCGAAGTCAAAATCTCAATCAATTACAAGTTCGTTTGGCTTATAATAATCATAAACTGAGACATCCTTGTATTTTATTTTGTCTATCAATTAGACGACAATTTTCCTGACTAGAAGCCCCCTCTGTTTTATTTTATGGCTATTATGTTTAGCTTTTGAAAGTACAGGATAGTCTTATATTACTAGTGTTCGATTATATGTGTCTGAAAAATTTCCCGTGTATGTTACGATCACAGAGTGAGCGATGCTAATGACAGATTGATTAATGATGTAGTGGGTTTCCATCTACTGCGAGGTGGTCGTAATGTTTTACTTATATCCAACCATCGCCTATCTCGACGGATCATCTGTTGCTGTAGGAGTACGTTAGAAGAAGATTTTGAGCAGACAATCCGAGACGTGGCATCAGTCCACGAAGTTATTGATTATTGGTCTGAGCCACTCGAATAGATCCAGAAAATCTGGTTGAGGTCTACATGGTTATTGTAAATAGTGGTTAGAAACTGTGTGATGTAGCTCAGAATAGTTTGTAATGCTATAGGTCACTCGAGGTGAATCTTTTGTTTCTAATCTTTTCCACTAACGCTAACATTGTTACTACTGCTACCATTGTTACATTTCACTGTGCTAATGGAGTATGGCAGCTTAAACCGATGTATATATATCCTAGAGTTTACATTTAGCATTTTTACAAGAGTATTTATAGTTTCGCTTTCATGAACAAGAGCTCTTAAGCTCCAAAGGCGTTAAACCATAGTATTTTTTAGAAATAAAGTTGCCTTAATTACTTATCCTAATATAAATATTAGTGTTTTATAGTTCGTCAACTTCTGTCCAAATTTATTTTTTATCCATTTCTCTTCTAGAAAGTTGTATTTAGTTTGACAGTAGTCACTACTCAATAATCAGACAATTGCAAATATCTCGGTCTTACAGGAAACCAGACGGGACTCGGATGGTATCATGTTAACATCTTAGACTGCGTATCTGAGTAGTGTGTTCGTATCTCACAATCAGCCTTCGTTTTCTTAAAGAATTACTTGCCTATCAGAGAACGGCACATTGTTCCGAATGCAAATATATAATGAAATCTGGAATCAAAAACACTGATGAAGTCTCAACAAGTTATTGTACTAGTAGCTATTCAAGCACTGTTGTTCTTGTCTAAATTTGAGAAGACAATGTGCATCAAGTGGTTAATGGGAAATCGGTATTAAAAAGAACTATATATAGTATTAGTTACTTATGAGTAGTATGATCAGATAATAATGCATAAACTTTCAAATTTGTTTCCATAAACGGAGGGCTTTGAAAGTGAATCATTGGTCTTGTTGCAATTTTGGTAGCTCAAGCAACTGGTTAGTGGTATTGTTAACACTGCAACCCGGTGCATAAACTTGTATACTTGTTTGGACAGTTGCATAGTTTTTTGTCGAAACGTATGTAGGACTGTAAAAACATAACATAAATTGTTAAAACAGATGACGACAGATCAACTTTTTTCCTTGCAGGTCACAAATTGATGATCTGTATTTTCGCATGCAGTTACGAACCAATGAGGTTTATAAGCTTAAACTAATCGCATTTATCAGTGACCAGCAAACAAAATCCAGTCTTCTGTAATTTATATATAAAGCTACAAATAAAGGTGTATTATCAAATGAGTATTAATTATCTTGTCGTACTCTAAAAGGGTGCATTATGCATGCTACTTAAGTTGTCTTGTTTTTTAGGCAATTTTCAACCTGGGTCGGCAATATTGACGTTTTTTTATAAAACATGCCTATGTACTATTTATATATCAATAGTGTTTGTTCGCTCATACACATAGCACAGCAGTGGAATTTCTTGTTTCACTTTTATCAACAAAAGAAGCGTTCATGCAATCAAACAAATATTATTTTTAATAATTTTTTCTCTGTACAGATTTTGTTAAATGGTCGAAACAATGAGCCATGTGAATCTTTAGTCCATCTTATCAATGCACATTGTTCTGTATCACCACTCTCTACAATTAGTGAAAGATTAGATAATTTAGGTGAACAATTTCAACGAGCTTATGCTGGATTAAAATCAATCAATAGTAGTGGAGTAACAATAACACCAACAGCGAATAATTTAGCAATTTCAGCTGCACAACAACGACTACAATTATGTTATCCATTATATTACATGGCTTTAGAAAATATTCTCTTAGATGAAATTCGTAGAATCGAAAAGAAACTGGTTACTACTACTCCCACTCCACTCTCCAGTTCAAATAGTTCAAATAAAACACGCCGTACTCGTCCTGACCTTACCACATTATTAGCACAAGATACATTTCATCGGGCTTTATTCATTTGTTGTATGGAAATAGTTATGGTGAGTTGCGATCCACCAAACCACCATTTTCCATGGATATTAGAAGCGTTAAGTCTTGATTCAGTTCAATTCTTTAAAGTAAGCATGATCAATATTTTATGTATTTTAGAAGAAACATTTTGTTTTATTAATTTTTACTATATAACTAGTTTTTTTTTAAAGTTTCTTAAATAATCCAGTAGGTTATCAGTTAAGTTCATTAAAAGAAACACCTTTGACAATTTTTTTCCAATCACTTGATGTGCGGTGTATCCTACTTATGTTGGCGGATATAATTAGTATGTAGCACCAGTCGGAATATTTAGAGGATTGAATTGAAGAGAAAAGGAAGGAAAATAGAGAGCGATTGTTATAACAGAATTGAAAGAATCATGAAGTATGTAAAAGACAACTGAAGGAATATGTGCACATGATGTATTTAATGTATGATTTTCATATCTTACTAATCCACTATGTGATTTTGCATTGAATAATAAATCGGTCTTCCCACCTGAGTTCTCGTCACTACAAATGTACTACGGCTACCTATTCAAATCAACCACGAAGATGATAAACAGTAAAAGCATCTAAATACAAAGTAATTAAAAAATTTACACAACGACCGCATACAATTACTTACACCTGTTACTCCTCATGGAGCAACATAGGCCGCCCATCAGCATTCTTTATCCAACTCTGTCCTGGACAATCCTTTTCATATCTGCTTCCAATTCCCGATGCAGTGTGTTTTCTGGTCCTTCTCCTTTCCGTTTTTCTTCAGGATACCAAGTTATGGCTTACCTCGTGATGCAGTTTGGCGATTTCCTAGTGTGTGTCCTATCTACTTCTAACGTCTTTTCCTAATTTCCAACTCAGCTGGTTTGTTCTCTCCTACAGTAAACTGTTGCTGATGATATCAGGTCAATAGTCATTAAGTATCTTACGTAGACAATTGTTTATAAATACTTGTACTTTTTTGATGACGGTTGTAGTAGTTCTCGAAGTTTCATTTCCGTACAGTAGAACGATCTTGACGTTCGCATTGAAGATTGTGACTTTGGTATTGGTTGACAGTTGTTTTGAGTTCCACATGTTCTTCAACTGTCTGAATGCTGCCTTTACTTTACCATTCCTTGCCTTTATGTCTGCATCAGATTCTCCCTGTTTATCGATGGTTCTGCTACCCATGTACTTGAATGTTCCCACATCTCCCAGAATTTCTCCATCAAGTGAGAGTGGGTTGGTGTTCCGTGTGTTTTTCCCTTGTGTATATGGAGGCTTGTTGCTACACCAGCTGTTTGACCTACATTTGTTGATTTGTATCGTTTAGTTACATCTAAGCTATCCCTTGTATTCCGTGCTTCCTCTCAGATGTCGAGGTCCTCATAATCCAATCAACCACCAGAAGATAGAGAAAGAGGGAGAGTAAGCAGCTTTGTCTGACTCCGGTCCTTACTTGGAATGCATCTTTCAACTGTCCTCCGTGCACCTTATAGAGCAAGGAAAAATGACAAAGCATTCGTGTTCGATAATTATTTAGATTTATGATGAGATTGTCCTATAAAAAAATATAGTTGTTGGTGATGAAACCTTATTACAAAAGCTGATTGGGCAATAATATAAACTTTCAGATAGGAATGTTAGATGGTATATTAGAGAATAATTCAAATAACCGACAACTTTAGTGATGACTGAGGATCCTAAAACGGTGTAATTAGTGAGTCCCGACCGTTGTTGCTACCTTGACGTAGTGGTCGGGCTTGCCTATCGTGATGAAGCCACCGAGCTATACTGGCCGAAATAACCGTTCCTCAAGGTCCCACCATACCAGACAGGTCGGTTGAAGGGCGGTAAGACTAAAAGCAACGAACCCAAGGTCCGAAGGCGAAGTCGTACTGCTGACTGTACAGAGGTGTGACAGCAGTAAGGTGTTTCCTTCAGACAACCAGCATGACAGCGATGCTGCCTTCCCACAAGAAGGGGTGGGGCTAGAAAAGGTCGACCCTAAAAATCCACACCTCGCCCTATCCCACGGATATCCGTCTCCGGCGGTAAGCTCTGAATAAGTACGGAGCTAACACAAAAATTACCCATAAAAAGGTCGTGTGTGACCGACCTCAAGCAGTTGTCCCTTAGGGCACTGCGGTCACGCCCCCAGATCACTAAGACCACCTCTAATCCAATTTCCTCTTCAGGTACCTCCAGAACAACCCTTCCACGGTGTGGGCAACCGGGAAGTGATAACCGCCCTCATACCTCTAACAGCACTCAAGACCACTGTATTCATAATCAACCTCCAAATGCCCTGGTACGGCCGAGAGTGGGGAGAGTCCGCTCTCCCTCTCGAAATCCTCTCACACGGCCACGCGTATATAGCCTCTGCCAGGGAAGTCCTACTCACTGCCTTCTCGTGGCGGGGGTGTTGTTTACGAGAATGAGAGGACGAAAAGCGAATGTCTGGCGCTTTAACCGGATTCCAAACCAATGGTGTACATGGTCTCCAGTATCCTGCGGGAACAAATGGCGTATGAACCAATTGTTGGTCACCGGCTTCCATGGGACTGCATCTCCTTACGATGCTCCACTGCCTTGTGGATTAAACCTTCAGGTCGAAGGCTCGGGGTGTGGCCCCCTAAGTAAACCACCTGCTTCGGTCCGGGCACCCAGACAGTATAACAGCCCTCACACATATCGAATGAGATTTGTGTGGCGCATATGTATTTGGTGCCTCCTTGTACCAATATCTATGTGTTAAAATAAATAAATAAATATATAATCCGTCTTCACTTCCTATTATTCCTCCTACATCGACTTTCACCTCTAAACTTCCTCTTTCGGCTTCCCCCTCAAGTGTCACCATAGCCAACGATTCTAGTGCTCAAAACACTGTCCCAGGTCTACTGAAACCTCGCCCCAAACTACACATTGGAGCCTTCAACGTACGCATCCTATGTCAAATCGATCAACAGGCTTCCTTGGCTAGAACCCTAGAATCTCGTACCATTGATGTATGCTGTGTCTCCGAAACACGCATACAGGATTCCAGTGTGGTCATTCACTTGACCTCACCTCGGCAAGACGGAGAGCCAACGAGATACACCCTTCGTGTGTCTGGTGACCCGATGGCAAGTTCTCGTGGACTGGCAGGTGTAGGCATAGCACTAAGCATGAGGGCGGAACAAGCACTGCTAGAGTGGATCCCCGTCAACAGTCGTCTATGTGCTGTTCGGCTGAACGGCTACGTAAGAACTCGGAAGGATAGGGACACACGTCGTTGCCTTTTTGTCGTTTCTGCCTACGCTCCCACTGACTGCAGCTCAGCTGATGTGAAAGATGAATTTTACAGAAAGCTATCTGAACTTCAGAAAGCTAAACGTTCAGACATAGTATTTGTAGCAAGTGACTTTAATGCCCAGATAGGCAGTTTAAACCAAACAGAAAGGCATTTAGGTGGGTATTTTAGTATTCCGGCACAACGAACAGATAATGGTGATCGTCTGCTGCAACTATGCTCAGACAATCGCTTATTTTTAGCAAACACAAATTTTAAGCATAAGGAGAGACATCGTCTAACATGGCGACCCCCTACACCAAACCAACGATGGACTCAAATAGACCATATCGCCGTCAGTCATCGTTGGAGAGGGTCGGTAGAAGATTGTCGCTCATTCTGGAGTACCTGCTTGGACTCCGACCACGCCCTAATACGGGCACGCATCTGCTTGCGCCTCACTGGACTCAAATAAGCCACATTAAAAAGACCCATTAGGACTGAGTTGAGTAACGAGAAAACCAAAAGTAGGTTCCAGGAGCAACTGAGGTCACACTTGGGCAGTTCTGAAGACGAGGCTGACCCAGATGTTGCTTGGAAAGCTATACAAACAGCAGTGACATCTATTACTAATTTAAACCACAGGGTTACAAAGAAGCAATGGGTTTCCTCAAGGTCTATTGCACTGATGAATTCTCGTAAACTCATCCCATCAGGCTCTGAATACGATGAAGAGCGACAACAAATCAGATCTAGGTTAAGAAAAAGTCTAAGGAAAGACCGTGAGCAGTGGTGGGCAACGAAAGCAAAAGAGATGGAAAAGGCGGCGACTATAGGGAACACAAGACAGCTTTACAAACGAATAAAAGAAACTGGAATTAATAATTCAAGTGTAAGTGAGATTATTTCGGAAAAAGACGATACTCTCATCTGCTTCCAGTCCAGACGTTTAGAACGATGGGCGGAACAGTTCAGCTGGCCTTCAGCTACTGTACAACTACCCTCCATTCCCAGACAATGTGAATGGGACAATCACTTATCGTCCCAATATATAGGAGGGGGTTAAAATCATCCTGTGACAACCATAGAGGGATTAGTTTAACTTATATAGTATATAAAATACTAGCCTCGATAATTATCAGACGCCTAACTAAGACTCGTGAACTGCAAACACGAGAGAATCAAGCTGGCTTCAGACCTGGTCGTGGCTGCATCGACCACATATTCACCATTCGTCAGGTTCTAGAACATAGGCATACTTATCGGCGTCCGACAATGGTGGTCTTTCTTGACTTAAAAGCAGCATTTGACTCTGTAGACCGCGAGATTCTGTGGCAGTGTCTGTCATTGAAAGGCGTACCTCAGAAGTACATAAACCTTGTGAAGGCTCTTTACTCGAACACTACTAGTCGAGTCAGAGCTTATGGCGAACTGTCATCTACTTTTGCAACCTCAAGTGGTGTCCGTCAAGGCTGCCCACTTTCTCCATTTTTGTTTAACTTCATCATAGACCTATTGATGGAAATAACATTCTCGTCGACTGAATTCTCGGGTATTGATCTCCTTCCAGGAGGTCCACTTATCGACTTAGAATACGCAGATGACATAGTCCTGTTTGGTGAAGACGCTGACAAAATGCAGAGTCTTCTGGTAGCACTAAGCAACAATGCCAGAATGTTTGGGATGCGCTTCTCTCCCTCTAAATGCAAGTTGTTGCTTCAGGACTGGTCTGCGTCAACACCTGAACTAAGGATAGGGAGTGAAGTAGTCGAACGCGTTGACAACTTCACTTATCTTGGAAGTCTGATCAGCCCTAATGGGTTGGTGTCTGACGAAATCTCAGCACGGATTCGAAAAGCTCGTTTGGCTTTTGCCAACTTACGTCACCTTTGGCGAAGGCGAGATATCCGTCTATCAATAAAAGGACGAGTATACTGCGCGGCAGTCCGTTCTGTTTTACTTTACGGCAGCGAAACATGGCCTTAAGAGTAGAAGACACCCGTAAGCTACTAGTATTTGACCACAGATGCCTTAGAAATATTGCTGGCGTCTGCTGGGATCACCGGGTAAGTAATAGTGAGGTTAGACGCAGGGTATTAGGAAATGATGGTAAATCAGTTGATGAGGTTATGAATCTTCATCGACTGAGATGGTTGGGCCACGTGTTACGTATGCCTGAACACCGATTACCACGACGTGCAATGCTAACCGGTGTTGGGAATGGTTGGAAGAAAGTTAGGGGCGGCCAAACCAAAACGTGGCATCAGTGCTTGAAGTCACTAACTTGTAGTTTGAGCCATGTTAGTAGATGCAGACTACTTGGTTGGGGTCCGCGTGACTATCGTAACCAATGGTTGGAGACTCTTGGTGACATGGCTCAGAATCGATCACAATGGCGTCGGTGTATACACTCTCTGTCTTCCTTAAACTAAGAGATTAAAATCACTTCATATCTTTCTTTCTACGAACTAATTCTTTCTTCCTGTACTATATCCTTATATTCAATCTTTCTTTTAAATATTATTACCTTTGAATTAACTACTTTTATGAATCCGGTGTCCGTCTTGTTGTGTTAGTGAGGTATGGCAACTTGGACCGATGCATATATGTGCCTGGTCCTACGTTGTAGCTGACTGTAATTAGTGAGTAAAATAAGTAGTATAGCTCCTTACAATCTGATTTCATGCTCTTTTGACATATCTTCAATTTTACTCGATTTTTCTCTAACTTTTTTTAAGGACACCAATTGTTACCGTTCATCTCTTATCTACCTTAACGATGAATGTTTTTTTTCTTTAACAGGTCGTCGAAGTTTTAGTTCGTAACCTAGATTTGCCGCGTGAAATTGTTAAATATATGAATCAAGTTGTCGAATATATTCTAGATTCATATGCATGGCGTAGAAACTCTTCAATATGGTCGGTACTAAAAGCAACCGGACGAGCTCCATCTATTGAAGAAGTTATACCTCCTGAAAAACTTGATCAAGTAAGAAAAATATTCATTTGATATTACGATAAATTTATAATTATTATAAGGCGATATGTGTGTAGAACAGTGGCCTAGTAATTAAAACGTTTCACTTTCAATTACTAAGTTTCGGGTTCAAACCTCACTTCATTTACTTCACTTTGGGCAACTGAACAGTATTATTAACACTCACTCATAATTTGTGCCTTATACTATTCAATGTGTCTGTTCGTTTGACTTTCAACTTACTCCCATGACAATCTTATTGTTTTCGTGTGTTCATTCTATGTATCCAGTCGCAAAAATTATTTCATGTAATTTTACCAATCCCTTTTTTCGTTTTACTTATTCTTTTTGGTCTATTTCAAAAAAATGTATAAGTAAGTTGTAAAGAGGATTTCTGGCTAGACCACCATCTATGGACGGACCAATCAGATCTACGATTACAGATCTCGAATTTTGGCGCGAAATTCATTCATCCATTTAGCTAAATAGCATCTTGGCATTCTATCTGATGTCAATTCGTGATGAAAACCCTAAATCTAATTTCTAACCCTAACTCAACTGTAAACCATAATCCTAATTCTTCACACTGGTTTATAACCCTCATTTAGCCGTAGTATGTAGGTAGACATTCTCAAGGTCTTTTTAGCGTCACTCAAAGGTCGTTCATGAATTGTAGTCTCACCGGATTTGTTTCAAGTGAAATTTATTAATACTACATCTTCAACAAGTTTTCTACTTCTGACTGTAGAGATGGTTTATTGTAGTGGTTCTGATCAATTCGTACTAAATTCTGTTAAATAGGGTTGATTTGCGTCCTTTTTCCCTGTTTTTGAAAATTCCAATAAGTTTAAAGCACAAATATTTATGTATATATAATTTTCATTTTCTATCCATAAACTATAATTACTTATTATCATTACCTACTACTTATTCTGTTGAATTCTTTGGAACTTTAAATTGTGTATTATAATATTTTTCAAAGATATGTCTAGAATCACCAAACAATTTTTTTACTAATGATTAGTTCAGACATTTAAACTACACGCGTACAAGTAAATTAGGTGTTATAAAACTCACGTTAAATAGTTTATTCATATTTTTCTCTCTGTAACGTCGTTGGTTGGAACAGGAAATGAAATTATTTTATTAGTTAGGGATTAGTTCAAAGCAGTTACTGATGTAGGTTGGTTTAGTGTAAGTTGTTTTTTTATTGGGGGGATATTACGTCTCCTGAGGGTAAGTATATATTTCGATTCGACTCAACTAGTCTAGTCATAATAATTCATAAAATATCTTACTACGGCTAAACATTCTCATTTAAATAACTTGAATTATACGTAGTTTTTTGGACTTTTGTGAAAGTGGCTTAGTAGTTAAAGCGCTCAATCAACACTCAACCAGCAGTAGCAGGTCACGGGTTCAAGCTTTGCCTCTCCTACTTTAATACTAGATTAGTCGAATATCATTAACCGTCGTACAATTTAGTTGTAACTTAATGCTGATTACATAAACCCGTATATGATAATTATTAATATTATTGCTCGTTGATATTTTGGTTACTTTCTCTCATATTGCTTAATTTTCTCTTTATTACATAGGGTTCTAACGATTGTTACACACGAAATACCACTACCATATCTCCTGGCCGAAAATTGTTAACTTCTAATGTAATATCTACCAAAAATATAAAACTCTCACCAAATTCTTATGCTAAACAACCTCGTCTTACAGGTAGTAACAATAGTAATAATAACAGTAATAGTATTACATCTAAAGTATCAGTTAGTCGACAACAAAACATTGAATTTTCAACAAACCAACCTGGTATCTATCGGCTACTTTCATCGGGAGTTGAAGATGAATCTGCTCAAGCAGCAGCTCAACTACTTGCAAGTGGAGCTACTGATTCAGTTAATATAGATTCTGGTCTTCTTGGAACATCAGATGATGTTGGCATCAATCAGGATAATGTGAATATTGATGTGAAACCGATAACAGAGCAGTTAGTTGATGATTATATTGTTAACACCGCAGTTACTGTGACTAGTGCTACTACCACCGTTAATAGTAGTAATAATAGTACTGTTGTTACATCTCTAACGACTGGTTCCGGCAATACAATTAATTATTTCCCTATTCGACATGATTCAATTGCCATATTTTTTCGACAAACATATCAATGGCCAGTTTACGTTTAAGAGATTTATGCGAACGCTTAAGTCTTACTCGTGAACTTATGGCAAAAATCTGGACATGTATAGAACAAGTAATTGTGCATGAAACTGAATTGCTTAGAGATCGCTGTATAGACCAAGTTATAATGTGTTGCATTTATGGTATATGCAAACTTGTTCTCTATCGTCCGCTTACATTTGTTGATATAGTTCAGGTAAGTGGTTTAAAGTTGTTTTTTCCTAGATTTCTTGAAGATTGTTATAAGTTATCTTTTATGATGCTAATGATAAACGAATTTAATTAACGGACTACAAATGTTAAGTATGGGGTTGTAGAGATTGTTGAAATAATTAACCAACCTAGGTTAGACCATCATTGGAAGATAGTTGCACAATGTCGTGCGTTGATTGTTGTTAGACACTAACATTGTTTGATGCCAGCTCACTGGTCTAGATGTTTAGTAAGCGTTCCCGCGTGACGGATCGTGAATGTCCACTACATAAGAGTCCCCTACTAGAACGAGACGGTCGCCCAGTGCTTCCGGGTTTTTATAGGTGGTTCAACTTAGATCAGTTTATGATTCCAATTAAAGTACAGATGTTCAGAATACAAGGTTGGTAGATGAGAAACAAGTTCCGTTTTTCCATATATCTATGTATGCATCAGTATTGTAGATACTAAACAGTTTCCCGACATTAAATGGTAGGTTGGAACTCGCATCCTATATTCTCCTCTTTAAGGTGGTGGTGTGTTACAATCTCAATCTTCATGAAAAAGTGTGGCTCAAGAGGTAAAACAGAGGCATATTATTAAAATTATCTATGAAATCACGTGTTTTTAATCTAAATTTTGTTTCGAATCTATTTCTTGGTACATAATCTTTGGTTTTCTCTTATTGCCCAGTCCCAATATCGTCTGAAAATGACATGCAAAAGAATAATCCTTTTTACAGTAGGATAGTGTTACAAACATTTGAAGAAATTTCCTTTCACATGTCTTTAGCTTTTGCACCAATCGTTAAGTTGGTAGTTGATTAAGTGCAAAGCATATCAACTTCATCTGTTCTAGACCAGATCAGTAATACCACAATCATTGTGTAACAAATCAAGCTCATGAAAATTTACACATAAATAATTCGCTGCATTACTAGGTTATATTATCATCGATTATTTAGATAATTGTTAGTATGAAGTTGATTCAATAGACTTAAAGGATTGGAGGACACTGTAGGTATAAAATCATAATAACCAAATTTCTAATCCAATTTACAGGTGTATAGAATGCAACCTCAATCTTATCGAGATATATATCGTCGTGTACTCATCAACAGAGTTTCTTATGGTCGTGGCAATACTGAAGAACGCGGTGATTTATCTCGATTTTACAATGTTATATTTTTACCACAAATGAAAGACTTCATTAAAAAGGCAGCATCTGTACGTTCTACATATAATGAAACAGATCCTAATTGTCGAACAGGACATCATTCATTAGGCTCTGATTCATTATCAACCGATGATAACACTGTATTGAATCAATGGACGCTTCATCCATCATTATCCCCAATGCCTATTCTCGTAAACAATTTAGCTTCAAATTCTGCTGCGGCTCTCAATTTAGGTCTTGATCCAACAACTACATCGGGAGATATAATACAAGCTAGGTAAGTGAATAAATAATGTACAACAACAATTGCTCACATTCCACTCGTTATTTATGCATATATGTGTGTATACTGAAATAACCAGTCTTTACTAAACTAATAGTTTCAAAACAATACTAGGAGACTATGACGGCATCATAAGGAATAGATAAGATTCGAAACATTCCCATCATCGCATAAACTTTTGAACTGTTAGTGGGATATTATGTTTATCAGGCTCTAATGAAAATGTATCGAGCTTTTATATGGCGACTGTTACATTCAATGTTTATTATTAATTTGCAATAAAAAACCATGTTTGTTATTTGTTTATCTTATACTTTAGACTAATTATTTGACTAAAGCTAATTTCTTAAAATTCATTCTAACAAATAAAGTTGTCCTTTGGTATGACTTGGGCGTTAAACTTTTAGCCATTAAGTCAGCAATTCGAAATCCGCTCCACCTACTTCGGTCCAAACAACCTGGTGACCCGAAGTCAAATATTACGAATCTGTGTACCTTGTAGTGAATCAAGGCTGGAATATGAAAATGTATAAACACACGTCTTATTTATCGAGTTTAAATTCAGTCAAAATGGATTCTTGTCACATTACTACAGTAAGAAATAATTTAGATTCTATAGTAACCATCTATCGTAACAACTGTCTACACCTATTCATAAAATTATCATAAATTCGTGCTAACTAGTTTTTTATCTTAAATTTTAGACGTTTAGCCAGTAACCGTAATATATTCATCAGTCCAGTTAAACAGCAAGTAAACCTATCTCCGAAAAAAGTCATTTTTACAGTCGGCCGAAGTACTGGTAAAGATTTACAAGATGTTAATCTAATGATAAGCTCTGCTGAACGTCGTGCATCAATGGCCAATTTAACAATGGGCTTAAAACGTCCAGCAGGTGGTGGCAGTACAACGACTACATATGTTGCTAATTCATCTCCATTCACAGTCACTTCTGGAACAAGTTCATCACGTACAGTTACATTAGTTGGACCAAGTGGATTCACTACAAAACGAATAGATTTTGATATGTGAACATTAACTCAATCGATATTGTATTATTATTACTGCTATTTTATTATACCTGCATTTTTTCTTTGAAAAAAAACAAAAAAAAAATTGAACATTCACTAATTCATTGTTTTTTTTTAAAATTATCTTTGTGTTATTATCTGTGAATAAACAATATCTATATAAATTATACCAAGAATTTTCAAAGAAAAAAAACCATTACTTTTTGTTGTAAACATATTCTCATATTGAAGAATGATTCTTGTACATAGTAGAAATAATAGTAATAATATTTAACTCTAGTATATTATTATAGCGTTTCTTGTATGCATATTGTTTGTATTGGTCGGTTATTATTATTGTTTGTCTTATTAATTGTTTTATCAGATCTAGGAGGGGGGTATTTGTCTTATGATGATTTTTAATGTGTTTTATTAGAATAAAAGGGAAAGAGCAATAATGGTAGTAAATCATAATCTTTATAATAATAATAATAAAATCTAGGATTGCATTGCATAAAAGGTGGTTGGATTTACGAAAAAGTGATTTTTCACAGTGGTTTCTTTATGTTTATCTGCTTGTTCTTGTTCTCCTTCTACTGGAGATCGAGAACATTTTGATGCCCAAAATGGCGGTGATAATGCACTTGAAATTGATATGGGTGACATAGATAATTGATCTGTGTGTCGATGTTTTCGGTTTAGTGGAAAGTCACTAATATTTCTAGTGGCGCTTAAATCAGTTGGGCTATCAGATGTAGAAAGAGATTCTTCGTGTGTGGAGATTTCTATGTTTTCATTCTAAACAATACGTTTAAATTGTGACAAAAAGACTAGTTAGATTATGCAAAAAATAATTAAATGAATAGTCAGTTTAACAACTAGAAATTAATTTTCATACATGTAAGGAACATTTTTACTCAATGGTAATCAAATGTAGAGTCTAACACAAAAGTCGCTAACAACAGAGATCAAAATAATCTCGTAGCAAGAGAAAGGCTTTCTATTAAAATTATATATGAAAGAATACTGAAATTCGAAAACTAGGGTAAGACGCATTCGCGCTGATGTGTTTCAATTGACATCTTGAACTAGTGAACGCTAACTGAGTAGTCTAAACCTACTGAATTAACTCGAATCAGCAGTCAGTGGTATCATTCTCCCAGGTCACTCCTACATCCGGTCGTCAAAGTAGGCGGTGTTTAGACATACTAATCATTTCAGTGGGTGAATATTAGCCTCTCAACAGCCAATTCGTCACCATTCTAAATATTATCTCTTAGTTGGTCAAATTGTCTCAAGTCCCAGACGAGCCAAATTGGATAACTTGTATTGTTGAAGCTCCTCTGGTTCAGAACGCTGAATAATATCAGATAGTTTGTTATGTTATCAACACTAAGTACTTAAGCATTTTTTGGTCAGATCAGTCATAAGCGCCGTAGGATTTGGGACATACACAAACCTAGCGAAATTGCCACTAAATCGCTGCGAGATACAATTTTTAAAACAGATGACGGGATAACAGTAAAAGTAGTAATTGTTGCGGCGGTGGCAGAAATAAAAAGACTAGAAATAGAGGTGATATGACAAGAAGAAAATGAACAAAATAGAGGGTTTTTAAGATATTAATACTCAGGATTTCGGAGGAGCATTATATGCACCTATACCATCGTGAGCTGTCATCCAGTATCTCCAATCATTGTTCACAATAATTGCGCGGATTTCGACCAGTTAACCACCTATTAACATAGTTCATTTCAACAGTAGATGGTTCCACGCCTTTGATTAGTCACCTTTAGTTTCCCTCTAGCTTATTCATACATCCGCATATATTGCGCGTCGAATTAGACGGTGGTTAAGGATTTAAAAAATATTTTGACCTGAGCTATAACTGGCGCATTGTACTAGGTTGTATGTTGATAACGACTGACTTGTCGCATCTTTTCTTCATAATAAAAATATATTCTGAATTTCTTAGCCTACTGACAAAAATAAATTGACTCATGAACTCAACTATTAAATTACAATCACTAGTGACTGGCTTCAAGAGCTATTTCCTGAAGTTGTAATGAGAAGCCGTGACCAGTGGAGTACCACCGGGTCTGTTGTGTGATAACTCACTGAAGACAATGGCGGACGGTGGCGCAATTCCGTGGATTGGTTGAAGGTAGACATTAACACCGTTGGATGCCGGCTCAGTGAAACCGAAGGTCCTGGGTTCGAATCCCGCGAGCGTGGATGCCCACTGTTGAGCAGTTTCATACTTCCAGGTTTTCCATGGTGGCCTAGCTTAAATTGACTCATAAAATCAACTACCAATAACAAGTAAACTTACCTTTGTATTAATTGCATCGTTATCTGTAGATAATGTAAGATTGTTTAAATGTTGATGAGCTTTAACTAATTGAGCGGCTAGAAATAAATTATTTTTCCGAAATTCTTGATCAGATAATTGCCATAATTCACAAAATGCCGTTAATGATGATGGTGATAAGTTATCACAACCAAGATTAGCCAATCTCAGCCATTCTTGACTGTTGTTCAATGCACCCCAGTTGAAGTTTGATGATATAGGTAATAGGGGTGACGGCAAATTATTATTGAAATCTGATGAAACTGACAATCTCGTAGTTAAACAGTGAGAATGTTCTTGTGTAGAATCTGATATATTATTTCCACCATTTAAAATTTGGTTAAAACCTAAATTCATGTTAGAATTAATGTTACTGTTACTATGATTAGCAAGTAAGGCAGCTGTATCGAGATCATGTGATAAGATCATTGTACGTGTAGGTGGATCTGGTTGTAATTTCCTGTCATTTGAAAGTAAAAACGGAAACAAACAATGGAAACTGGAAATAACAAAAAGTTCAAAGAAAAAGCACTTTAACTAAAATCATGATTTAACGAAAAAAAATCCTCTATTCTTAATACATTTAACTTAATTTGTTTCGAAATAAACATATTGTCTGCAATGATGTTTTGATAGTGAAGGGAGAAAAAAAAACTGAACAGGGTACAAATGCTTTAAAAAAGATTTGGTTACACAGAAAAAATTTTTGTTTGTGAATTAGATCTAGGCGTAATCTGTCTATCAAACTTGTGATACCTAAATGTCCAAGCTCGAAAAAAAGTTAATAGTGTATGCCATCATGTACATGTCTAGATACATCGTATATTTAGTATCTGTATGACATGTGTTTTGCACCTAAATGGAAAGTACTTCGGGGAAACTGATGGGATCTGTGCCTACATCCACTTTTTATAATGATTAGTCAAAAACAATTGAATATTTCATGTTGCTGGATGGTATGAGTGCTGGTGGTGGCGGGAATAATCATATTTATCTACGTGTAGTAAAAGGCGTTGTGGCTTATATCAGCGCAGGACATAATTAGAGGCGTCACGATGTTAATCTTGCTGTAAATGGTCGAGTTCACAACGGGTTTTTTAGAGTAATTCACTTCTATGTTTATGAAACCCGGTATCTAAATTGCGAATACGGTTTATTTTCTGTATTTGGTCATCGTTGTCTCTGAAGGATTGCTGACGTTTGGCAGGAAAATCATATTAGTAATGATGTGTTTTCGGTCACAGTTACAACTCATTTGGTTTCACCATCTTAAAACACCAGATTCGGTGACTTGGACATGTCTTATAAATGTTGTCCCAGTGACTTGCACTTTGTGCATTATTCGCTGACTCTGAAACTTTGGGAAAAGTGGAGGTGATCAGTTTATGACAAAGTGCCGTGGTATAAAAGTGTGTTGTTCAGGACTGGCACCTGTTATTACAATTAACTCATTCACCAAGTACTTGGATATAAGCCATGTTTTAAGCGTGAGAGCTAATGATGCTACCTAGTTACCCTAACCAAAATAAGTGGATCATGGTTCGAGACAGGGATTTAGTTGTTGAAAACCGAATGCAATTAACAACCGCTCCATAATAAATGTACTTTATATATGATTAACTAATAACTCAGTTGTGATCACGACTCCTCAATTGAAGTCCTAAAGATAGTTTGAAATGTTGTTAGATATGATACAGAAGAGAAATTAATGGCAATCTTACTGAATCTCTTATTAAAAATACAGTATTATTCATTTATTTACTGATTATATTATCCATCTCTCTCTTTTATTTCTCGTTTATTTTTATGGTGCCTACTTTCTTTTTTCGATAACTTTGTTGTACCAGAATGTATGTATATGAGGTGAATAAAATAAACAGGAGAACAATGTTCAAATTGATTTTAGCCTGTGGGATTACATCCATTTCACAATCGATTGGTTTTATACACATGACAGTGTGTCATATAGACTTTACAAGCAACCAATTTAAAAGAGAATCAATACGTTTAAAGTAATTCATTGAAATGGACAAATAAATCAATCAAGAGAATATTTTAATTGTGTATTATACTTGGCAGCTTGCTTAAATATCTAGGTTACCTGTTCCTACCATCTAGATATTTCAACAATTGATTTATCTTTTTATTTGTTTTAACATATCATTATGTCTATGAATCGCATAACCTATTCAGGCGCATATATGGAAAGTTTCCGACCTTTCATTGTACAAGTCACAAAAAATTATAATCATCAGAGACATTGTGATGGCTGGCAATATGGATTGATAAGAATGAACATTATTAAATCTCAAAAATTAAAGGGAGATAAAGAAAAATCACAGCCGTGTATTTCTTTCCAATATGATTATCTTCAACTACAACTAATCAATGTTAATAATATTAATAATTTCACTCAATGAATTAAACAAAACAATCTATACAGAACGAACCAGTATACATTTACGTATAACATTAATGGATTAGAGTTTTAAAAGTTACACAATTCTGATATATATAAAGGCATCATATTACATTATATACTCTCTCTCTTCCCTTAAACCAAGAGATTGAAATCACTTCATATCATTCTTTCTACGTACTAAATCTTTCTTCCTGTAGTATATCCTTATATGCAATCTTTCTTTTATATATTACCACCCTTGACTTAACTA